GATTAGGTACACAAGTAATTCTTCATTTTGTACATGTTGTTTATGTTTGTGCCGTTGAACCATTCCCCTCTTTTGTTGCTTAGTCAGGTATGGATCCTCAGCCTCAAGTTGCTCCACATCTGGAAATTCATAGAGCAGTCGCGCTCCAAATTATCAGTGAGATGGAACTTCAAGTGCACGAGACTATTCGTCATTTAATTTGACGTCTCTTAAAGCATGGGGAAGCTTCAAGAAGCCCATGTCTACTTAGACGGTTTAACTCATGATATTCAAGGAATTATGCCTTAACTTGTTCAAGCTATTGATGTTCAAGTTGCTCAGTCCGAAGTTGCTCAGTCTCCTCCACGTGATCTGAGAATCCAACCCAAAGTTGCTCAGCCTCCTCCACCAGATCTGGAAGTTCAGAGAGAAGTCGTGCTCCAAATGATCAGTGAGATAAAACTTCAAGTGCACGAGACTATTCGTCATTTAATTTGTTGACGTCTCTTTGAGCATGGGGAAGCTTCAAAAAGCCCATGTCTACTTAGACGGTTTCACTCATGATATTCAAAGAATTATGCCTTAACTTGTTCAAGCTCTTGATGCTCAAGTTGCTCAGTCCGAAATTTCTCAGCCTCCTCCACGAGATCTGGGATTCCAGCCCCAAGTTGCTCAACCTTCTTCACCAGATATGGGAATTCAGAGAGAAGTCGCGTTCTAAATGGTCAGTGAGATGGAACTTCAAGTGCACGAGACTATTCGTCACTTAATTTGTTGACGTCTCTTTAAGCATGGAGAAACTTGAAGAAGCCAAGTCAACTTAGACGGTTTAACTCAGGATATTCAAGGAATTATGCTTGAGCCTGTTCAAGCTTTTGATGTTCAAGTTGCACAGCCTCTTCCACGATATCTAGGAATCAAGCCCGAAGTTGCTCAGCCTCCTCCACCAGATCTGGAAATTTAGAGAGAAGTCGCACTCCAAATGGTCAGTGAGATGGAACTTCAAGTGCACGAGACTATTCGTCACTCAATTTGTTGACGTCTCTTTAAGCATGGAGAAGCTTGAAGAAGCCCAAGTCTACTTAGACGGTATAACTCATGATATTCAATGAATTATGCCTTAGCTTGTTCAAGCTCTTGATGTTCAAGTTGCTCAGCCCGACGTTACTCAGCCTCCTCCACGAGATCTTGAAATCCAACCCGAAGTTGCTCAGCCTCCTCCAACAGATCAGGGAATTCAGAGAGAAGTCGCGCTCCAAATGATCAGTGAGATGAAACTTCAAGTGTACGAGACTATTTGTCACTTAATTTGTTGACGTCTCTTTAACCATAGGGAAGCTTGAAGAAGCTCAATTCTACTTACATGGTATAACTCAGGATATTCAAGGAATTATACCTCAGTCTGTTCAAACTCTTGATGTTCAAGTTGCTCAGCCCATAGTTGCTAAGTCTTCTCCACGAGATATGGGAATCCAGCCTCTAGTTTCTTAGCCTCCTCCACCAGATCTAGGAATTCAAAGAGAAGTCGCGCTCCAAATGATAAGTGAGATCGAACTTCAAGTGCACGAGACTATTCGTCAATTAATTTGTTGACGTCTCTTTGAGCATGGGGAAGCTTCAAGAAACCCATGTCTACTTTGTCGGTTTGACTCATGATATTCAAATAGTTATGCCTCAGCATGTTCAAGTTGCTTAGCACGAAGTTGCTTAGCTCGAAGTTGCTTAGCCTCCTCCACGTGATCTGGAAATCCAGCCCAAAGTTACTCGGCCTCCTCCACCAGATCTGGGAATTCAAAGAGAAGTCGCGCTCAAAATGGTCAGTGAGATAGAACTTAAAGTGCACGAGACTATTCGTCACTTAATTTGTTGACGTTTGTTTAAGCATGGGGAAACTTAAAGAAACCCAAGTCTACTTAGGCGGTTTAACTCAGGTTATTCAAGGAATTATACCTCAGCCTGTTCAAACTCTTATTTTCAAGTTGCTCAGCACGAAGTTGCTCAGCTTCCTAAATGAGATATGGGAATCCAGCCCGAAGTTGTTCAGACTCTTCCACCAGATCTGGGAGTTCAGAGAGATAACGCACTCTAAATGGTCAAGTAGATAGAATTTCAAGGCACGAGACTATTCGTCACTTAATTTGTTGACAACTCTTTAAGCATGAGGAAGCTTGAAGAAGCCCAAGTCTACTCAGACGGTTTAACTTAGGATATTCAAGGAATTATGTCTTAGCCTGTTCAAGCTCTTAATGTTTAAGTCGCTCAACCCAAAGTTGATTAGCCCGAAGTTGCTTAGCCTCCTCCACGTGATCTGAGAATCCAGCCCGACGTTGCTTAGCCTCCTCTAACAGATCTGAGAATTCAGAAAGAAGTCGTGCTCCAAATGGTCAATGAGATGGAACTTCAATTGCATGAGACTATTTGTCACTTAATTTGTTCACGTCTCTTTGAGCATGGGGAAGCAAGAAGAAACCCAAGTCTACTTAGACGGTTTAACTCAGGATATTCAAAGAATTATGCCTCAGCCTGTTCAAGCTCTTGATGTTCAAGTTGCTCAGCCCGAAATTGCTCAGCCTCTTCCACGAGATCTGGGAATCTAGCCCGAAGTTGCTGAGCTTCCTCCACCAGATCTAGGAATTCAGAGAGAAGTCGCACGCCAAATGGTCAGTGAGATTGAATTTCAAGTGCACGAGACTATTCGTCACTTAATTTGTTGACGTCTCTTTAAGCATGGGGAAGCTTGAAGAAGCTCAAGTCTACTTACACGGTTTAACTCAGGAAATTCAAGGAATTATGCCTCAGTCTGTTTAAACTCTTGATGTTCAAGTTGCTCAGTCCGAAGTTGCTTAGCTTTCTCCACGTGATCTGGGAATCTAGCCCAAAGTTGCTCAGCCTCCTCCACCAGATCTGGGAATTCAAAGAGAAGTCGCGCTCCAAATGATCAGTGAGATGGAACTTCAAGTGCACGATACTAGTCGTCACTTAGTTTGTTGACGTCTATTTAAGCATGGGGAAGCTTGAAGAAGCTCAAGTCTACTTACACAGTTTAACTCAGGAAAATTAAGGAATTATGCCTTAGTCTGTTCAAACTCTTGATGTTCAAGTTGCTCAGCCTTCTCCACGTGATCTGGGAATCTAGCCCAAAGTTGCTCAACCTCCTCCACCAGATCTAGGAATTCAAAGAGAAATCGCGCTCCAAATGATCAGTGAGATGGAACTTCAAGTACACGAAACTATTCGTCATTTAATTTGTTGACGTCTCTTTGAGCATGGGGAGGCTTCAAGAAGCCCATGTCTACTTAGTCGGTTTAACTCATGATATTCAAGGAATTATGCCTCAGCATGTTCAAGGTCTTGATGTTCAAGTTGCTCACCCCGAAGTTGATTAGCCCAAAGTTGTTTAGCCTCCTCCACGTGATCTGGGAATCCAGCCCGAAGTTGCTCAGCCTCCTCCACCAGATCTGGGTATTTAGAGAGAAGTCGCGCTCCAAATGGTCAGTGAGATGGAACTTCAAGTGCACGAGACTATTCATCACTTAATTGGTTGACGTCTCTTTAAGCATGGGGAAGGTTGAAAAAGCCTAAGTCTACTTAGATGGTTTAACTCACGATATTCAAGGAATTATGCCTCAGTCTTGTCAAGCACTTAATGACTTAATGTTCAAGTTGCTCAGCCCGAAGTTGTTCAGCCTCCTCTACGTATCTGAGATTCTAGCCCGAAGTTGCTCGGCCTCCTCCACCATATCTGAGAATTCAGAGAGATTCGCGCTCCAAATGGTGTGTGAGATGGAACTTCAAGTGCACAAGACTATTCGTCACTTAATTTGTTGACGTTTCTTTAAGTATGGGGAATCTTGAAGAAGCTCAAGTCTACTTACACGGTTTCACTCAGGATATTCAAAGAATTATTCCTGAATAATCGCCGAATATGCGGTAATTCC